AGAAGTTTGAGTGTCAGGGCCAGGACTGGGGTGAGGAGGTGAAATGCCTAGGGTGCAAAACCTAATGAGGCATTCACCCTCGAGGTCATGCAAGTGCAGGGTCGGCTCCTGCAGAGGAACGTGCAGGTAGAGACATCCAGTGAGCAGGCGGATGTGTGGGGCTAAAGGCCACAGAGACAAATGGGCTGCAGGCGGGTTCCTGAGATCATCAGCCCATGTGGTGCTTAAAAGCATGGATTTAATGGGAGTGAGGAGAGGGAGATTCGAGGAGGGCTGCAATGACATCCTAAGGAGATCCCGGGGAAGGAGAGGAACTCAGAAAGTGAGAGACAAATTGACAACAAAACCACCTGGTGCTCATGCCAACCCTGTCCCTCCAAGCTTCTAACTCGACATGCCATTTACTGGACATTTAGGTCCTACCCTGAGCTCACCAACATGGGTGGAAACCCAGCCTGAAAACAAAGACAGAGCCCACAGAGACGGACAGGGAAAAGGGTTGGCTTCTCCACCAAGAGGATAACAAATAGCTGGACAGAGTTGAGAGGTAGTTAAGCTGGAACCATATTGTCCAGCTGGTAACTGATCCCTGAGTGTCAGATAAAATGACCTTGGGGCTCCAAACCAAGTGCTTGTGGGGCCACCAGGCAGGCACTGTCAGTGGGTAAAGGGAGCTGGGGGAAGGAGAGTGCTATTCCACAGTGTAAGTGAGCAACAGGGAATGTGTCACAGGATGGCATAAGGTTGGAGGGTGGGGTGGGGGATGTGGTCCACTGAGGACTCTAGGTCCTTTTTGAAGAGATAGTCACAACTCTTTCCAGTCCACTCTGGCCTGGGCAGGGTACACTGTGGCCAGAACCATGTATTTCTAAAGAAATGTCCCCAAACTGGATTTTTCATGTGAAAAATCCTATTTTAAATGTTGGCAACTTGGCTGGGCATGGTGGCTCATGCCTGTAATCCTGGTGCTTTAGGACAGTGGTCCCCAACCTTTTTGGCACCAGGGACCAGTTTCATGGAAGACAATGTTTCATGGGGTGGAGGGAGGTAGAGCTCAGGTGGTGATGTGAGCGATGAGAAGCAGCTGTAAATACAGATGAAGCTTTGTTCACTTGCCCACCACTCACCTCCTGCTGTGCGGCCTGGTTCCTAAGTTTCATGGAAGATAATTTTTCCACAGGATGGGGTGGAGGGGAGGCAGAGCTCTGCAGCCCAGTTAATAATGGAACATGCACGGATACTGGTCTGTGGCCCTGGGGCTGGGGACCACAGCTTCAGGAGGCTGAGGTAGGAGGATCGCTTGAGGCCAGGAATTTAAGATCAGCCTGGGCAACAGAGTGAGACCTCATCTCTAAAAAAAAAAAGAAAGAAAAAAATGTTGTGGATTTAATCAGAATTGTTTAAAACTGTGCATACCGACACTGCCAACCTTGGCTAAGAGACACTGCCAGCCTTGGCTAAGAGTCCCTCAGTTCACGACCTCTGTGTTAATCCCTTGCATTTTCTAACAATAGGGCCTGACTTTACCGTGACTCAAAGGGGCCAGACTTCCGTCCTCGTTTCCCTCTTGGTCCACCCCTAATTTCACTTGAGCTTTTGTCCAGAGGCAGAGGGAAGAAGAGACGCCCTGCAGAGGGCAACGTGCCCCACACAAGCAAATGAAGCTGCTGCTTTTATGCTTTTCTCCGACAGGTATTTGGGTTCTGGGTCTGGATCCTGGTCGCTGCCACCCAGGTTTCAAGCCCGCTGCTGCAAGGATGGGTGATGTATGTCTCGCTCACCTCGTTCCTCATCTCCCTGATGCTCCTCTTGTCTTACCTGGTTGGATTTTATAAAAGATTTGAGTCCTGGAGAGTTCTGGTAAGAACCAGTGGGGCGGCTCTCCTAACCTGATGTCCTGGGGGGTGTGAGGACAATGGGCCCTTCTGGGCAGAAAGGGAAACCCAGAGAACAGAGATCAGAGACCCTCCCTGGGCTAGACCCAAGGATCCAAGACTTTGGATTTTAGTATGTTTGTTGTTAAGCCCAAATGAAAACCTTTCTGTGCAACAGTAAATCCTTCTCTATATTCCCCTCCACTGCCTCCCCTGTCAGGAATAC